TGTTGATATAAGATGAAGAAAAACAAACTATGTGAGTACTACTACTACTGCTGCTAATCAGCATATTGATATAGATGAAGAACTACAAACTGATGAGAGTACTACTACTACTACTGCTGCTAATCAGCATATTGATATAGATGAAGAACTACAAACTGATGAGATTACTACTACTACGCCTGATAATCATCATGAAGAACTACCAAAATCTTGTATTTATATTTTTATTTTAACTACTTTTAATTTTGGTTGATTTATTGTTTTAATTTATTTGTTAAATTTAATTTTTTTATTAATTCAGTATTTTTATTTTTCAGATCAAGAACTTGTAACAGAAGATGAAGAAAATTGTAAAATTTGTATGGATTCAGAGAGAGAGATAGTATTTTTACCATGTAAACACATGGTTTCATGTTCTTCATGTTCTGCAGCATTGAAAAATGTCCAATTGAAGAAAACTAATACAATGTAAAATAAAAACCAATTAAGTCCTTGAATTGTTGTACCATGATGGAGCTTTTTGATTACCAAGAGAACTACAATTACCATCACTTTCGAGTACACAGAAGGAAATTTAAGCTCAGCAGCCTTTAGACAGATATAATGAATGGACTGAAAAAAATTTGCTTATGGGTACAGAAAAGAAGATTATGAAAATTATTATACTGAAAATTGTTTAAAGAAACAATAAAGATCACTGATGTAGAAAGCATCAGGTTCTATTCAGAAATTACACAGTGTAGTAGGGTATAGGAAGAAGAGAAGAAGAAAGAGAATAAATCGTATATGTAGGGATCAGAAGGAAATTCTAACTACAGCCTTTGTGACAGTTATAACGAATGGACTGAAAGAAAATTACTCTTTGATGAATGTTTTTCCGGATGTTGGTTATGTACCGGGAATTGAACTGGAAGTTATAGTGCTTATGGTGCTTATGGTGGTTGAATACTCTTTTATGAATTTTTTTTAACCGGATGTTGGTTATGAAACCGGGAAATTGAAATTGGTGATGTGAATATAGAAAAAAGAGATAAAAATTTTTATACTGGTAAGTGTATTAAAGAAACAGCTCATGTAGAAGCAAACAGGTTCTAATCAGAAACAGAAAAAAATCTTTTCAGTCTCTTGTTTAAAGAGGTATCAAACAATTTCTGAAATTTAATAACAGGGTGGGTAATGCTCTTCAAATGTCAGTCAATGTTTAAACTAATTTAGTTGTTGGGAAAGTTTTTTATGGAATTATAAAGAATTGCAAAATTCAAGTTGGATTTAAAAAAGTTGATCGTTTGTATCATATTTATCAGCATCAAAATAATGATATTGATGGAGACGGTTATTATGAGCTATGGTTTAGAAATGAAATATAAGAATAAATATATTTTTGTTGAGATGAAGCTAGTTTAAATAATAAAGATATTTTTGATTTTGAAAATGGAAGAGTACGAAAAGGAGAGGATGAAAATTATAGAAAGGGGTAAATAATAAATATTACCTACTATCCCATTAATATAATTTCCATAATAGTATTTTGAATAAATGATACATTTTGATTTTTAAATATTGATTTTTTTATTAGTTTACACTAAGAGAAGAATGGTATAAAATTGATAAATAGCCAATGTTTTGATATTTGTGATGAAAAATGGAAAATTTTAAAGTTTCATGTTGATTTTAACATCAATTTAAAATTTAAAAATGTTTGATTTTAACATTAATTTTAAAATTTACAAAATGTAAGTTTATAAGAACTTTTAGAGATAAGATCTATAATTGACTGTATGTAATTCTCCGACTAAAATAAATTTGGAAAATCTTCAGTTTCCAAAATTAGTAAGTTTCATTGTTAATGCATAATAATTTTAACCTAATTTTAATTTTTCTTGTTTCCTCGATAATTACACAATCTAAAAATTTTTATTTTTTTTCTTCTCCCTTATTTCTTCTTATAAAAATAAATGTATTTTATAACTAAAACACCAATTAAACATTTAAAAACATTATGGAAAATTGATTAGATTTTTTTATCTCTCTAGTGTTTCTGAGAACAAATTGAAAGAAAAAATTATTAAAAATCCGTGTGTTTTTTATAATTTTTTAAAGATTTTATAATGATTGATTTACAAGTTACATTATTTTTGAATATATGTAACAATGAAATTTTTTTTACAATATATCTAAAATATCTTCAATAAAATAACTAAAACTTTTATTAATATGAGTATTAAAAATTAATAATAATATCTCAAATATATCAAAGAATAATTTCTTTACTTGAAATTCAATAATAAATTTCCTGTCGTCGTTATTATAATAATATGATTTACCACTCGTGCTCGTCACAGAAACATGTCATTACGAACAACCATTAATTATTGGATTTATTCGATTTTCCAAATGAAAAGAGTAGAATGAATCTTAATGAGATTATAATGTAAATCATCTTTGTAAGTTAATAAACTTATGTGGTTATAATAACAATTCAAAAGCATCAAAGATAAACCCGTAAAAAAAATCAATAATATCTATTAATGGATAAAAATTTGGTATTTTTAATAATAAATATTAATAAATACAGGCTTCATCTTATTTGCCTCCGATAGTATTATCATAAACATTAAGAAGATGCAATCATTATTATTGTAGAACAATTTATGGATATACCAAAAATCAGGATGGGCATGTTCGTGAGCTTGGATGAGAGTGCAATTCGATTAAATCAGTTTGAAAATTATAGGTTTTATATATTTTATTTTTTAAATTCAATAATTTGTAATAGAAAATTGCGATATATTAAGTTATCTTTGTTTTTGTTTTTTTCCGAGAAAAATGGTCGTAAAATATCAATCAGCACTACTATAATTACCAAAGGGACTTTAAAATTTTTGAATAAGGTTCTTTACAATATCTGTTGATATAATTGACGAAGTGGCATATAATGCTGATCATCAATTACAATTCTCCCATTGCTTACATACTGGAGCACAACAGTTTAATAAGTCTTGATAAGGAATTTGAGCAAAAATTTCTTCGAGTAATTTTGATGTTGTTGTTACCATATTTTATAGTCTAGTAACTAGTAATAATAGTTTTTATATCTTTTCATACATTTTTTATTTTAAACACCAGGAGAGAGAGGGTTTGGTTATAACTATTACCCACGAAATGGTTTAAAAATGTTTCTTAAAATGTTTCTACCTAATTGGAAATGTGTAGTGCTTTTAGTGATGTAAATATAAAAAAAATGAAAAAATTATAATAAAAAATTTTCTGTGATAAAATATTTTTTGTCAATCATGTGAATCTTTTCTGTAATAAAAAGAAATTTTTATCAGATCATAGTTTTAAAATTATTCCTAAAAAATTATATTCTACGATGTAAAATATTTTGTGAGAAAAAAAATAATTTAAGCAAACTAATGAAGAACCAGAAGTATTTAAGAAGCATCATACATTATATAATTTAGAAACACTTCTCCTTTGAGCCAGAAATGGGTAACCCGTGTTAGAACTACGATCTTGGCGAACTACAGTCTCGGTAAATATTATTGAAAGACTTCATAAGGTAAACTAATTTCCAAGAAAATTTTATTTATAATAAGAACAAAAAATTGTCATGTGTGTGATATAAATAATCTTTTGTTTAATTTGGGTTGTTAACAAATAGAATTATATAAAAAATTTTGTTACAGGAAAAGAAGTGTTCTAGACATTAATACTCTAAAAGAAATATGATAAATTCAATAGAAGACTTTTGGATCACAACCCTCCAAAACGAATGAAGATGACTGAACAATATCTTACTGGATAAGGAAATGCTCATACAATGGAAGATTTTTGAATGTGAGTTTTTTTTTGTTTTAATATGATGTTTTTTTGAATCACTTAAAATATAATTTTAGAAATTTTTAATATTAATAATAATTAGTTAATTTTAGGATATAATATTATATTTTTTTTATTAAATTACAGGTCAAGAAGCAAGAAACAAAAAATGAAGAAAAATATCTTTCAATAATAAAAGGTAATTTTACGAAAGATTTTAGTGGCAGTGATATAATACTTTTTAAGTACAACAAGTAAATTGTTTTGTGCTTGGTTCTAAATTGAAGGAGGGAAGTCTTACTGATGCTTTAAGTCTAAGTTTTAAACCACTTAGTATCCATATTTATTTAGAATACCTGGATCTTATGCAAATCTAGCTAATGAATGCCACATCGTGATAAATTTGGAGTAAAAATTTTATAAATAATGGAAAAAACAACCCAATGATGCCAAAATGTTCGCGCACAGATGGCGATGGGAACTCCACATAATATTATAATGAACTGTAAAGTTTGATAAGACCTACTACAATTACATGCAAATATTAGATACAAAGAAAGTCTGAGGATATGTTCAAAGATGTGCAGTGAATGATCTGTTAAATGGTTATTAACAGATCCCAATGGAATTTTAATTGAAAAAGTTGTGTTTCCAAAAAAAATTGGATGTGCTTCAGCTGGTGGTGATTGGCATGTGTATCTTGAAATAATTCATGATTTTTCAAAGGAATTAAAAAAACATCATAGAAATATTGTTGTCATTATTGTAAAATATGTCAAATAAAATAGAGTACTGATATTAGATATAAAGAAAGATTATAGTATATTACTGATCTTATTAAATGGTTATTAAAAATTTCAATAAAATTTTAGTTTCCAAAAGAAATTGGATGTGCTTTTGCCGGTGGTTATTTGGCATGTGTGAAATAATTTTATAAGGAATTAACTAACTAAAAAAAAATAGAAATTGTTATTATTGTAAAATATTTTCAAATAAAATATGGTTATATAAATATTATCTAATATTGTTTTATTTACTATAATTACTTTTTAACATGTGGCACAAAATATATATAAAAAAATCTTAATGAGCTGTTAAAAGAGAATCTTACTGACTATTATTTATCAAAGTATAAAGCAATGAAGATTTGTGATAAAGATCTTTTATGGACAGTAATATTGAATTTACTACTGTTAAAAACAATATATGCAAAAAATTGTGAATCTATAATAAAACAGAAAGATGTATTATTTAAACAGCATTTTGAAAAGGAAAATTTTTGCTTTTGGTATAAAATGGATAAGGAATATACCCAGGTTAATATAACTATATCAATTAACATATGGACAAAAAACTTTACAAGCAATAAAGTGAATATTGAAAATTCTTCAATATACTATAATTATGTTGGATCTAATACAGATGAATATATAAGACTTTCTCTTTATGATATTATTGATGATATAAAAAAAATTCAATATATAGATAAAATTAAAATTGTAAGCAATGCTACTATGGAGTTTATTAAATGTAAGAATTGTAAATTACAAAGTTTTCCAATTATAAAGATACAGATAAGTGACCAAACACCAGTAATTTTGGGAGTAATTGTGTTGATAACACTAATAATGAGTATTACAATCTATATTTATTATCTCAAGAAATATATAACGGGTGATTATTCAATGAAAAAATTGTTTACGTGAAGTTAAACCATATAAATTATGTTTGTTTCATTCCAGAATCAACAACAGAACAGTTGCCAGGCAAGATGGAAAAGAACTATTATAAAATTCTCTGTCTCGAGAAAAGTGCTAGTGAAGAAGATATTAAGAAAGCTTATAGGAAAATGGCACTTATGTACCATCCCGACAAAAACAAGTCTTTTTTTGCAGAAGAAAAATTCAAAGATATAGCAGAAGCCTATGAAGTATTGAGTGACAAAATGAAGAGAAAAATATATGATATGTACGGTGAGAAAGGACTTAAGAGAGGAGAAGGAATACCTAGTAGTGCTGGAGATGGACTACACTTTAGGTATACTTTTTCGGGAAATCCTAAAATTATTTTTCAACAATTCTTTGGCAATAGTGATCCTTTTTCTACTTTTTTAACAGGAGATGTAGATTCTAAACATATAATAAGTGGACGATATTCCTTCAGTTTCAATGAGTCTTTTGAATTTTCCAAACCTCAGTACAATAAGAGTCATTACCAAGAAAATTTTAACTTCAACAATGACAGCAGTAACCCTTCTGATATTTTTAAATCTCAAGATAAAAGTCAAAATAAAATTAATTATCAAGAGACATTAACAGCCTTTGGATTCAAAAAGAAAGATAGAAACTTAATATCCCTTCCAGCTCCTTTTTCTGTCAATTCATTTTTAAATACTATGGATGAAAAAATGGAAATTGATGAAATTACTACTACTTCTAGTAATATATCAGAACAGTCAATTATTGTGTCTTCCAAAGATTTAGACCTTTAAATTTTTTCCTTGGAAAAAAATTTACAAGGGTGTTACAAAGAAAAACAAGA